TTGGCTTATTGGTCTCGTGCTTATCATTTCACGTTTAGTAGATCATTATAGTTTTTGCACGTGTATGTAGACGAGGGAGTGTGGATCGAGTGATCATGTGTAGAATAACTCGGGATGGATTTTTGTTTTGTATGGATTTGCTATGTGGGGACGTGTTTTCGGAATGGATTTTGATTTTAGGGATAACCGGATGATAATGAGAGTCTCATTTCGCATGCTCGTTAATGCTGGACCGTTCAATTTTTCTTTTCAAGCTACTTGTTGTTTTGTTTGCTTGAGGACAAGCAAAGAGTTAAGTGTGGGAGAGTTGTTTATTGTGTTTTTGTGCTTATTTTCGTGTGTTTTATGTGCTTTAGTTTAGTATTTTTAGGTTCGTTTTAGTGTCGACCGGTCCATTTTATCGTGTTTCGTGCATTTTTATTCTCGTATCATGCTTTTGTGGTTCGGCGTACTTTTCTTGTCTTTTTGGTGTTGTTTAGGTCCACATTATTCGATCTTGGGAAGACGAGCCATTTCTGAGACATTTTCGAGTCGTCCGAACCATGTTCGAGCCACACGAGCCATTTTCGAGCCGTTCCGGGCATATTATTAATTGCGTGGTAATATCAATTTGCGCATCTCAAGATGAAGAGAAAAAGATTTGGGAAGCATGGGTCGAAATTTCAAGTCAATCGGATAACCGTGCGAAAAGTTAGAGCAAATCGAGTTGAAGCCATGTGCAGAGCCTGGGATTCGCGCCCGCGAATCCAATTTCGCGAGATATACAAAACTCGCGAGTTACTTCCAGCCCGCGAAAATGGATTCGCGCCCGCGAAAAGGTGCTAACTCGCGAGTCTCTCAACCAGTGCCTTGCTGCCCGCGAGTTTGAAGATTCGCGAGTCTCTTTCCTTATGGTATATATACATAAGGAAAGAGAAATCTCATCTTTTTCTCCTATTTACAAGTCTTGTTGACGAAAAAAACTCACATTTTTCTTCTTGTTTCGATCTTTTCTTCAGAGAACATAACTTTGCCCTTTGGTGATAATTGGTCGCGTCATTTTGTCGAAATTTATTACTAGAAGTATTGAACAAGGGCGACTATACGTGCTAGTTTGAAGAGAGAGGTCACTGAGAGCAGACGTTTTAGGGCCACAACGCAAAAAGCTGCAATGTCGGAGATGAATGTCCCAACTTTGGACCGGGAGTGGCCTTTGCAATTGCAGGAGGAGATTCCTCAGGTTTAACAATCAAGAACTGAGGAGGTTTCACACGACAGTGCCTTAAAAAGAAGGCTGAGGGGGGTATTCATCCCATGGAGTCACCCTTTTAGTAGGGTTCGAATGAAATTTATATGCCAAAGCAGTTGTTTGTAGTTTATAGCCGAATACGATCGATATATCTCATTCGGGTCGTCTTCTTGAAAGAAGGTTTTTCGAATCTTCGTTCGTTGTCTAGTCGTCAATTCAAAAAACCAAAAATAAGGTCCTAAACATGTTACTCGCTTGATTGGGGTTGATTTGAATTACATTAAGCTATGGAAACGAAAGCAATTAAAGAAAGATGAGATTTTGAGAGAAAATATTAGAACTTTGGTTGCACGGAGTCTCCTTGACTTGACAAAAAGGAAACAAACGAAGAGGAAAATGCTAGCCATAAGATCCTAGGTAGATAAACCGAGCCTTCTAAACCATATAATCACGCTTTAAGAAAGTCGAGACTTTTATAACCTGATATGCACAAATTGAAGTCGTAACACTCGAGCACGCAAGAAAAATAAAACTAAGTCCTAAATCGAGCATCAACACAAAATTCCGACCAAAACACAAACTCAAAATAATAAGCCCTAATCAAGGTACTTACACTCCTATCGCAAACTCGAACAAATATAATGCGCAAAAATCGAAAGGACAAAAATAAGGTCGCCGGAAAATAGACGGAAAATGTCAATTCTTGGACCTCTAAACCAAAGCATAAAATAAAAGAGAGAATATGAGCTAATTTCCCAACTAAAAAGTTAGGAAATGAGGGTGGTGTTAGAAAATATAAAGCACAATGTCTATTTATAGTTGCACACAAAACACACACTAAAACACACACATTTAATGAGATACACTCACCCAAAATGGAAACTTGGCCAAAAGTTCCACCTAAAAGCTTGTTGGGCGAGTGCTTGGGTTGTAGAAGACGGGTTTCAGGCGATTTGGATGTGCGAGTCGTACATTATTTAAAAATACATCGCATAACATAAAATATACGCAATTCGATTTGGATATGCGATAACATGAGAAAATGCGAAAAGTCCTTGCATATGGTAAATTATGCGGTGGATTTTGATATGCAAGTCATAAAATATGCAAAAATACGTCGCCTAACATAAAATATACAACGTTAGATTTGGATATGTAATAACAGAATACACGCAAATTTATCACGTTTGGTAAATTATGCGGTGGATTTTGATATGCTAGTCGTAAACTATACGACAGTATGTCGCAAAATCATAAAATATACGACGCTCGATTGGTATTCGCGATTACATAATATGAGTAAGTGTTTCACATACTTGTTGACTATGCACCTTATTTGATATGCGAGGCATAAAATATGCGAAAACATGTCGCATAATCGTAAAATATGCAACTGCCAATTTGGATATGCGATTTTTATAAATGCGAAATAAATTCTCTTAACAAAAATTATGCGGTGGACTTGGATATGTGATAAACACATATACGAATGTGTCTTATGTAACTGTTAACTATGCGTTTAATTTGAATATGCGTTAGTATATATACGACAAAATATCGCATAATTGTTAATTATGCGGTTCATTTGATGTGATTTTATATTGTAAATAGGTTCGTGAGTATTGGAGTGAAAAAGAAGCTTTTTAATGAGGCAATGTGTAGAATAAAGTGAATGTATATATGTTGGGGTGTAAAAGAAATTCGCCCTTTTTTTAATTGTCTATCACTTTCAATAACTTTTCTCATATTTTCACATCACATTAATTTTAGTCACATTTTAAATATTATTTAATTATAAATTCAAAAGCATCCACTCAACCAATTTTATTTGAAATAACTCATATTAACCAATTAAATCCAATCACGGAGGTTAGCAAACTCGAAAGTAATTACCATGATCAAAGCCAGGTGCAGCCCCCCATCCTATTTGATATCTCTTCTTTGATTAGTTCTTTTTCTAATGCTTTCTTTTTTTATGATGTTGTTGGTTGTCATTTGGCCTTAGAATTAGCTATCCCGTAACTCTGTTGCCTGGCTTTTGCCTTAGTTGTGGGGTTGTAATCAGTTGATTGCACGAACTATGTACATCTTTTTGAATTTTATTTTATGTGGTTGTTGGAAAAAAAAATCCAATCAAAAATCATGGATTCATTTCAATCACGGCCTAATGATGTCGATTTCATTAAGCAATTAGTACGTACCCCGTGCGATGCACGGGACAAATAATAAATGAATTATTTTCACATGCTATATCTGTTTAAGTCTAAAAAACAATAGTGTTATCATCTATTTTTCACATATTTTAATCATCGTTAAGTCTAAGAAATAATAAAGTTATAATTTATTTTCACATCTTATAATCAACGTTGTTTTTTTTAGTGAAAACATTAAATATGAGTATGTTAGTGCTAGTTTGTAAAATAATTAATAAACTATCTCACTAACACATTTATACTAACATAAATTTGATTTTAGTATATATATTTATTACTTGATATAAAAGAAAATAACAATTTTACTTATTATTTTTCACCATATAACACTTAATTATTATTTTATTACAAACTTTGTTGTCATACAATATCATTATTATTTATTAAAGTTATAGAAGTTGTACGTCTTCTTTTTCTTTTTATTTTATGTAATGAAAAAAAATTTAAAGCACGTAGTGTTATTTATTTATGTAATCAATTTAAAATATGTAAATAAAACGACAGGGGAACTATTATGTAGTTTTTATTTAAAATATGTAAATAAAAACGACAAATGTACAAAAATCACAAGAAAACACCACAAAAACATAACAAACAGTAAACACATTCAAGTGAAATACTATTTTTGTTTAAGAGTCTGCAGAGGAAGACTTGATCAATGTCGAGTTCATCCGGAGCGAAGTACAACTGGCAACATTCTGACGAAGCCACTTGGGAGGACCACGTTCCATGAACTGCAACCTAAGATCGGCCAGATCGCTGTCAACAATGTGCACAAGGCTTAAGAGGAGATTGTAGGATATCTTTTATTAGGATATAATTCGTGTGTAGCTAAACTAGCTTATTTGTTTTCTTTAGTTGCTTCCCTAGATTAGGTGTGAATATTTTTTTATTATAATTTCCATGTAATTTTGATTTGCATGCCTTATTTTAGCTCATTATATTCTCCTATATAAGCAATACAATAGGACAAGAAAAAGGAGTCCGACTCAACACCACCAAACAAAAGCATGCTCTTTTGTATTTGCGTGAGTTTTCTTCTATGTCTTGTGTTTTGGCGATGATCTCGCCGGCGACTTGGTGTTAAGTCTCCGACGAGTCTCTAACAAATCACGGTGCTCGCCCAACAAAGTTGCCATCAGAAATGGGTAAAAAGCTGCTTTCACTTTCCTTGGCCGCCCAATCAAATTCACAACACCCCAGAAGTTCAAATTTTTCTTTTCCCATCGATTTTTCTTTCTTGAATAATATTATGTTCTAATTAAAAGAGACGTGATATTATAACTGTAATTGGATAACATGAACCAGCTGACAAATTTTAAGTTAAAGTTACATTTTTACACAACTTTTTATAACACCATCCATGACAATCTAGACCATATATTAGCACGTGGGAAATTATTTTTTTACAACATCCCACAAATATTCTTGAACATTACTCTAAAATTAGAAAACCCGAAACACGCAAACCTAAAAACTACTAGTAAATACAAGCACACATTCATTGTTGACACTTTAATAGGAATGTGTATAAGAGCATACAAACATAACGAGGCAAGCTACGCTGCAGACGAAGCAGATATATACAAAGCCATTGCCTTATGGTTCCCGATAGTGCCATCGCGTGGCTTGAAATCCAATGTCTGGTCATTGTATATTTTCCACCATTTTTGCACCAGCGTTTTGACATCCGCACGGCCCATATTCTCCTCTTTCCCAGTGTAGCTCCACGGCTTGGAACCCGCCACACAGTAGTGGACCACCTTGACCTTGGTGAGGTCAACCCACTTGGGGTGCCTCCACAGCATCGCCACAAGACAGTTGTAGATAGGAGAAAGTGGCTTCGACACATCTCGGAAGAACATGTTAAGGAAATCCTATACACATAGGAAATCGCCACAATGAATTAATTAGTTTTTAAGTGAATTAATTTCGAACTTTTTGCTGATAGTTTATGAATTATAGTTAGAAAACTAGCTTCATAAACTATGACGAGAGTATTTCGTAAAGTTATGAAATAAAAAATTTGTTAGACTTATTTAAAAAGCTATCCAATGAAACGCTCGTAATACCTAATCAAAACTTATTTGAATACAACAAGTTTATATAAACTAATCAAATAAGCTATAAGCTACATTATATCATCACCTGCTCAGCAAAAGGTGTCCGAGGTGTGATCTCCAGAGTTGTTATCAGCTCATTGTACGTTTTCACATTGGGCTCGAACAAGAACATGCCACCATTGAGATAGAAAGTGGGCTCGGGCCCAAGCTCCGCGGGCCACTGGGGCTTCAGGGGACAGGGTCCGTCGTACATTTCACACAGGCAGTCCACGACGCCATAGAAGTAGCCACCCGGCAAGTCAAACAGGTGGTCAATGTTGTCAAACACTTGGATGTCTGCATCCACGTATATCATTTTGTTGTACTCCACAAACTACACTTCCACATCACACTACATATAAGCTACTATCTTTATTTCCCCCTCAAAATTAGTCTATCATTTTCACAATAATATTGTTCGTAACAAAACAATGCTTATAATTACCTCCCAAAGGCGAAGCTTACAGTAATTGACAGCAAAATAGGCTCTAACAAAAGAGCTGTCCCCGTGGGTCGGCGGCGACGGCGGCGGTGGCAGAACCCGCCGGATCTCACGGACCACGCAGCCTTGTTCCACCAGGGCACGGCGGTGCTCTGGCGGCACGTCGGGAAGTACGGCCACGACGAGCGGGTACGCAGCTCTCACCTTCCTCAAGCCCTTGGCGAGACCAATCACACCTTTCACGTAGTCACCATCGCCGGCCAGAAACGTGACGTAAGCACAAGCACGACCCGTCGTCCGCCGGTCTCCGCTGCGGTTCGCCATCTAAAGAGGATATTGGAAACTGAAACTCAATTGTGAGCGGCAAAACGGTGGTTCGAGATTTTATGTTTGCAGTGGATCAATACGACTTAGGGGATAGGTGAAGACTGGAGCATACGTGTAAGGAGCTGGTTGATTGGAATGGACACGTGGACAAAGGGAGGCAAAAAATATTATAAATTTATAATTTAGATAAGAGT